CCCCTGTTTCCGCCCCCCCTTGCTATTCTTTGGCATTTGAACTGTAGTTTGGATGTGTCTTTGTCTGATATTGTTCCCTTGTCTATTGTCACATACTGAAAAATGTCAATAAACATTTAATATGCAAAAAAAAAATAGAATCCTGTGGATTAATAGCATTGCAGCTTTTTAGATTGTGTTGGCGTGGGATTATTATACATATTTTTATTTATAGCTCAATAAAAAAGACCATTAAAATAGCTCAACACGCACTTTACTCTCTACTGAATTAACTCCTAGACACCATTGTGTTACAGTTCCTACAGTAAGAACTGCAAGTAGTGCATACTCTTCTAATCCTAAATTGGTACTCTATGAATTCCAAGAATTCTTTGGGATGTTGTATGATCTTCCCACTGAACCCTCACCCTTAGCTCTCCAGGATTTCCTCCAGGGTCTCTCCACTTTTCGAAATTGACACAACCTCATCAGGAGCCACTGGAAGCCCCAGTTATCTCGGCGGAGCTCAAGCATGTAATTCAGGCTAAGTCCTTCTCAGCCCCTGACCTGGATGGACCGATAGCTTCTTGTTATAAAAACTTCAGTGACATTTTAATCCCTCACCTTGAATGACTTTTTAACGCTCGGCAGAAAGGAGATCATTTGGATCCATAAATGAATAGATCGTTTATTAGTATTATCCATAAACCCAACAAAGAACTTTGTGAAGTTGAAAATTATAGACTGATATCTTTGCTTAATAATGATCTTAAGCCATTAACAAAAATCCTAGCAAACATAATGCAATCTAATTGGGATACACATGCTCTTATTGCGAGGATTTTACTGTCCATAGACCTACAGAAGCCTTTCAACTAGGTTTCTTGATTCTGTCTCCTTACGGGGCTTGACACTCGGGGCTTTGGCCCAAATGTTTCTCAAATCTTGCAAAACCTTTACTTCTACCCACAGGCTGTGATTCGGATGCAAGGATACACATCAAAACCGTTTAGGATCCGTTAGGGAACAAGACAAGTATGCCCATTATCTCCGTTACTCTTTGCCCTAATTATAGAACCACCTGCAATTGCAATTAGAGAAAATGTTAAATGCAGTGTTAAAGGTGTTTATTGTGGAGAGAGATCATAAATGTGCATTATTTGCAGAAGATCTCTTGCTGTTCCTGACCTCCCCTTTAACCTCTATTCCAAATGTACTACACATCCACAGATGAATTTGCAGCTATTTCTGGATCGACAATCAACAAGTCAAAATCTGCGGCCTTAAATATCAACATCCTTTTGGACCTATGGTTAAGATTCAGAATTATTTGCCCTTCTCCTGTCAAACTGACTCTCTTCTGTATCTAGGGATCAAACACATGCCTTCCTTGGCTAAGCTATATTGATCTAATTATCTTCCTTTTTTTGGCAATGGAAAGCAGACTTGGACAGGTAGTCTTCTGTAAGCTTTCTTGGCTAGGCAGAATACATGCCGTTAAAATGACCCTGTTGCCTAAAATGTTATATTATTTCTGAGCTTTACCAATTGCTGTTAACCGAGTAGATCTTCAGAAATTCCAATCCAAGATTTTGAGATTTATCTGGAGGAAACAAAGACCAAAGGTCCTCTATTGGTCTAAACACATGGGAGGTCTTGGAGTTCCCAATTTGCTCTTATATTATCAAGCCACACACTTAGCCCAGTTTTCAGCCGTTTATTCCTGGAAAAAAATCCTGATTGGATGGATTTGGAATCCCTGGCAGCTGCTCATATGCTTATAGACTTATTGAAATGGCTATCCCCTAGACAGAGGTCAACCATCCTTGCCCAACACTTTCTGTTGCCCTAGCCTTATGGGATAGGTTGGATAAAAACACATTGTCGGCAATCTTGCCTTCTTGCCTGGCACCCAATCACAAGCTTTCCGCTGGCGCCTTAGTAAGAGACTATTCCGCATTTGCCAATACTTTAAACTAGGAAAACCCCTGTTTCTATCTTATTGCAAAGAGCTTACAGTTACCACAATCAGATTTTTTTCACATTAAACAAATTTCCTCTCTTCAATAGAGCCATCTGATAAAGCCTCTTATTCTCCCACCTCATATGAGAGTTGGTGTTTTGAAGCCAGATGTCAGAGAGGGGGAATATCCACAATTTACCCACTATTCTTCTTAATTACCATACACGTTGGCATGGGAGTCTAATATAGGCGTTACTTTCTCATTAGAATGTTGACACAGGCGTAGCTCTCGGGCCTCCACAGCTGTGATCAATCTTTCCCTGATGGAAGCAAATTTAACGGTGCTTTCCTGATGGTTCTTGGTGCCGGCTGACTGGCATCCATGTTCCCAGGGGCATCTTCCCAGTGTTTATGGGGATGAACTTCAAGGTACTATGTTTCTTACTTGGTGGCTCTGTCCAAAAACTCGCTCTTTTTTGCTCTTATCTATAGAGTCACAGGTCACAGGGTCCCTCAAGATCCACAATATGTTTTGTTTAATAAACTGATAACAGGTTCAGAGCATTGAAAACCCTGCTGCAATAACTATGTACACAGTGATATTGATGGGATTTATATTGTGTTTTCCTTTATTCCTCAAAGCCTACCAATAGATGCATTCATTTGGAATAGCCCTACGGATGTAAAGGAATTATTAAATAAACTTCTAATGCAATCCAGTAAAAGTTGCAACTATGCTAAAGACAGAAGGCCCACGCAACTTACCTAAACAGTCTTTTAGATAAATTTGAAGATCCTTTGCAGTCATATTGGGTAACCATCAGTGCAGTCAAACTGACATCGGAGCCCAGCAGATTACATGGTCTGTGGGCTCCGCTTTCAGGTTGACTGCTCATCCACCTCTGTGTATCAGTAGCCGCTGTCTGTGCTCCTTTCTCACAGTTATCTGAGGGGCTGGGCTGTTAGTTTGACAGCCAGGTCTTGCTCTGTAAATCAGGAGTCCCTGCCAGTGCACTAAAAACTTAGAGTGGGATCCAGCTGTCACAGTCGCAGCCCAACTCCAAAGGTTACACTGGCCAAGTAACAGTAACAGTGTAATCTGCAGCCATCAGTTTTCCCCCATTGCAGGATCCAAAATGTTTCCTACCTAGAGGTAGGCCTGGCACTCCTACCAGCAAAAGTACTAGAACAACTTAAAAACCCATACTGGAAAAAAAGCAGTACAGTTAAGGGATTTGTTTTACATTCTATGAGAAATAGATTAATAAAAGGCTTTTTCCAAGCAGTGTATTTTTTGGTGCTTTTAGTATCCTTAAGGTTAATTTACCAAAACCAACATACTATGCCACAGTTACATAGATCTATTCACATCAGTCCATGCCTCAGTTTAATATCCCCATGGCCATCTGTCACACATAGACCAGTACTGGATGGCAAAAGGCTGACCACTGTATTGTGGCTGCATTTAAAAAGTTTTGTTATATCACAAAATAAATGATATGTAACAGTATCCTGGAGATGGGCTTTAACATTTTCAATGGACTCAAAGTCCATTAATACACTTTTGCAGGAGGTGGGCTACTTACTGCTCCTCTTTTTTTTAGCTCTCTTTTTCAAGACTCAAATTACTTGCCAATGTGAGCACCATCTGTGTGTATGTCTGGGGCACGGAAAGTCCTGTTTTATGTTATGAGCTAACTTTCATTAGTTACCTTTTACTCCCAAGCTTTCTTCCTCACAAAGCCACCTTTCCGCATTTAACTGTCCCAGTACCATTTTCCCCCAGGGCTAGGGAACACTGATAGTAAAATATCCTCCTCCTTTCAGAGCAAAAAGTGTCCACTGCTCTCCTTATCACAGCATCACTCCATTCAAGGTCACCACACAGCTCCAATTGTCAAACTTCCCTCCAGCAGCTGTTGCTTTCCATTTCTCGAGGGAGAGAAATCTTTCCTATTAAAGCACACCCTAACCTATACATGTAGTACGTGTGATTTTATTTGATTTTGCATATCTACATATTTAGTAGGGATAGAAATGTGGAGCTGATGCATTAAAACTAGAGAAAAAAAAATTAGTTGAACAGATTGACAATGTCAACCAATCAAAATGTTGCTTACATTTTCCATAAGCTCAAAGGTGAAACCTGATTGGTTGCTATCTGCAACAGCATCAATTGTGTGCTCATTTTATTTTCTCTAGTTAAAATGCAACAACCCCTTTGTTTTCAGGATGTTGCTATGAGCAGAATAAGTGTTGATATTAATACAACTTAATGCAATTCACTTTCACATATCATAAAATTGTATTTTATTATTAAATGTTTTATTTATGCTGTTCTTAATTCATTATATCTACTTGCAGTAACAATGACGCTTTTTTAATTAGCATTATGTTTATATTAATTTAATACACTGTTTGGATCCTTGCACAATGGTTATTGTTTGCATACACATTTCTAATGCAGCTATGCGGCAGCGAGGAATTCTGGGAAAAAATCAAACCAAAGCCGGAGATAAATATCAATGCTGTAGGAAGGAAAGGCGGTTCAGTTTCAGTGAAGACAAGCAAAGCGAATCCGAAAATTGGACGTCCAGTCTGGATGCGTAGAAGAAGGAACACTTTGTTTTAGAAGACCAAGCGATGCTACTGTTAATACTGCAAAATGTTGTATATGTGTGTAAGTGTAGCTTAGGAAACTATACAAATAGAAGGCTGCTTACCTATGCCATTATGGCCATTATGAGTATATATGAAGAGGTAGAGGAGTCACCTCACCTCAAGTTTGACATTTGTAATGTGGTCACTGAAAGCTAATTTTCCCCCTGTTGGAGTGCTATTGTACACTGCTATTTGTTTGTTTGGCTCAACAGGAATATGCAGGCTAGCCATTCAGGCCAATCTAAAAATATTGTTAGTCTGGGATTACAAGCTGAAATGAAATATTAAGGTGGAAAAAGTATTGCAAATTATCAGCCTTTGTAATGATATACTGCGGGTAATGTGTCTTGGCTTCCCCCGTTAGTGGGTTTCTGAACTACTAAGTGACTGCCTTTTGATTCTGTACCAATATTTACATTACTAGAGCACAGATATATAATTGTCTGCTACAGTCCTTTTTGCTGATTTATTGCAATTAGGAAAAAATGGAAATGACAAATAACTGCACTTCAGCACACACAGTTTACACCCCAACATCAACTGCCAACAATGAGATCTGCATTAGCTCACTATATGCTCACTTTGGGTCACAGGAGTTCATTAGTAAATATACTCTTGTGACCCAGAAGAGAAGTAAAGGTGAACAAAGGTTTTGCTTTACTTTTATATTTTAATGTCCTATGTAAAATCCACTATATGATCACTGTTAATATATTAATATTCATATTAAATATGTTAAACTGAGGGCAGATGAGAGGCTTTTCCAGAGGTGGGCAGTTGACCTGAGTAAACAGACAGTAGCAGTGTGTTTCCCTATTGTCTTACAGGGCTCCAGCCTCCTGCTCCCTCCGGGCTGCCAGACTAGTCCCCATATCTTCTTCTTTCCTGGGCTCTGGCGGCCTAAGGACCACTGAGGTCATCATGTCTTATGCAGGCCCATTGACCTGCCTTAGATGTGAGGACACCGAGGAACATAGCCAGAGCAGAAGGGGAGAGCGCTGACCACTGCGGGACTGAGGATCAGGTGAGTAATAATAACACAATGCCTACAGAGCCAAGCAAGTGAATGCAACAGAAAAGGGAGGTATGAAAGCCCCAGACTTACAGGGGTTATTCCTGTTATAGGCATGTATTTTTTAGGTTTTATTATGATACCTTTGACCATCTTACACCCTGATTTTTCCTGTTGGCATGGGTCATGGGAATTTTAAATGTTTGTTTTAGAAATTGTAGAAAGTGGTTGATTTAGATGTGAAATGCATTGGCTATTCCTATACTGTCCCCTCAACCCTACATTGAATAAAGATGTGTCTGGACTATTAAATAAAGTGTGGCACTTCAATTCACAATCCTGCAATTTGACACCACAAATGAAGTAGACAGTGGTGATCCTCGGGAATGTAGAAGCTGCATGTTTGGTAGTCAGATCACCTATACCAACTCTATTTCAACCTAATGGGCCTGTCACACCAACAAGACAAACCTTGCAGGTCCAGCGCTTTTTTTCACTTCTTTCCAGTTCATCCCACAAGCTGTATAGGGACCGGGTGCCTCTTCTTCCTGGGCAGCGGCACAGAGAGGGTTCAGTATGAGCAAAAGCAGAGGCAGCTGCAGGGAGAAGCCAATGTATAGAGCTCACCGACAGAAAGGCACTAATAGCTCAGGACGGCCGGATAAACAAAAGCAGAGCCAGATGCTCCAACAAGACATGTGAGAGAGCTCAGCTGCGAGTGTGGTAGAGTGTGTGTGTGTTGGAAGGTTTCTGCATGCTTGGAGAAATCAACTTTGATCATGAAATTCCACAACACTATTCTCTTTAAAACTGCTCACAGCATGAGTTTTCTATTAGACTTTCAGGACTACTTTACAAAAGATGCTTTTATTAGGGTATATTTAGCCAGATGGGATATAAGCTAAGCCACATTCCTTGTCACTAGATTGTCGATTGCCAGAGCCTCTACGGTCAGTTTAAGTTGTACTCAATGTGGTGTCTCAGTTTAGAGAAAAGTTGAGGCCCATCTATTGAGTGCCATGTGGACACAGGGATTGGTCTGAAGACTGTTTTTTTTTATGATTACTGCAATTCAGCATGGATGTTGACCATCTCTGTGACTGGCCATCTGCCCCTGCTGCACTGGTATCACAAGCAGTGTTGTCAGTCTTGATCTCACTTCTGGACTCCAGAACACCTTATATTATGAAGATGAGCAGACGGGGAGGTGTTCTGTAGTGCAGAAAGGAGATCTGGGCAGAAATGATGTAGCTCAAACTGAAAGTTAGGAGCATACTGCATTTATGGCAGATCAACAGGCATTCTTCTATAAAGTGCTTTTAAAGGGATACAAAACTGGAAAATACACATGTATTCCAGAGATGTAACGACTATGTTTTATTCCCCAAACATACACTTTAAAATTGCTGTTCTTCCCAATGGCTCAGTGGAGTGCTATTTGGTTCCTTTAAGCCCACCTCATCATAACCTGTCTGATTATACTTTATTCTTGGTCCACAAGCCCTAATCCATAAAAGCCATCGTTTCCATGAACTGTACTTTATGAATAATTAGGCAATATAGCCAGAAATGATGTTGAAATAAAATAAGTTACAAATGAGAATCTTAACCCCTGAAAAGAACACCGGACTTCACATGGTGGATGTTGTAAAATTTATTAGGAGCTCTTTGGCACTAAGAGGGTGAACAAAACTCTGTAAGGAATAATATTCCACTTTCCTTTCCCCGGAAAGAATGAGGCAGGCAAGATGCGGTTTGGCTTAAGCTTGAGTAGTCCATAGTTTAAGGCCCCCACTGTCTTATATAGGACAGAGCACTTGAACACAGTAATTTCTTCTCTGCATATATGTTTTACCCAGCACCTTCACTCTTCTCTGAGCTTCGTCCTGATATATTGTCTGCATCATTCTTTCTGTAAGAAGCCTCTTCTACATATTTACTTGTAAATCCTGTAGTTATGCGACTGCGAGCTCCTGGTTGGTACAGCTGCATGGCCGGGCGATCCTGCGCAAGGTAAGCCACAACCAGCTGTTAACAGAATGAAGATGACATAAAACATGGCAGTTTCTGAAATACAATATACCATAGAACGTCTACTGCTAGATACCCTGAATTGTCAGGTTAGTTGACACTAGATGCCACGGTTTGATGGAGAATTCCGTGGAAATAAAATGTAGATCACAAAAAATGTTACTACTCCATGATGCAAAGAACTACAAACACATTGTACATGGGAGCTTTACAGTTTTGAAATCATTACTCAAACAGTGTTTGTACTAACACAGGGAAACAGGCTGACATTCAAGTAGGGATTGTTATGTTGAGTGGAAATATAGTTGAGCTCAACAAACAACCCCTATTTTTAGTTCAGCATTATCAGATTCCAGGCTGGAGGCATTGGAGGATCACAATATATGGTCAGCTACACTTTTACCTGCTCTAACAGGGTCTCCTATTGTCAAGTCACTTTATTTTTAAACAGATCAATAAGATCCTAGTAGACATTAAGGGCATTGTCACGGTATTCAGTGTATTTGTGCTAATATATTGCTTACGCCATTGTACTTTGTGTTTAGCCTTACTGTCCAAAGAAATCCTACACACTGCTAGTTCACCATACACGTAGTTTATTCCATCCAACAGTCAACATGGTATGGTCTCTGCCTATTAGTCGCCCACTCTAATGTGCTTCACCCTCAAAGGGCTTAGTTGTGAAGGTGGGCGACTACTAGGCGGGGTGCTTACCATGCTGGCTGATAGATGGAATAAACTACATGGTGAACTAGCAGTGTTTTTGGCATTTCTTTGGATGGTAATACTACGGAGCGTGAACAGCTCCCGACCATCACCTGCAGTGCACCTGGGTGATGGAGCAGGATGTGGGATTGAGCAGTGAGCTTCCTCTGCATTCTTACATACCGTGTTAAGCTTTTTTGCTATATGAAATGATATATATTGCAATCAAAATGAAACTAATACAATACTGTGGTACAGCCACAAGCAGTTTTTATGAGAGAAAAGTTAATTGTATATTCTTTTAGGAGACACCCTGAGTCTGGGTCCCGGTGTTATGTTTACACTAAATTTTCCTGTGCATTTATTTTGCAGTGCAGTTTCAATGGTCACTAACAGGGTTATTCACAAAGGGTGAAGAGTTTGGAGATGGCAGGAGAAGTGAACAATCTAGGACAACATAGGTGAACTGGAAAGTGAGCTGAATTGGAGAAGTTTTCCAAATCAGCTATATTGTCCTAGATTGTTCACTTCTCCTGCCTTCTCCAGACTCTTCACCCCTTTGTGAATAACCCTGTAAATGATTTATATGCATTCATGTGCTCCTGAATGCCAAGTGCACCATGGAGTCATCAAGGCCAATTTTCGTGCATTTGGGGCCACATAATTAGTGAGATGTTTTTTATTTTCTGTTGAAGTTAGTTGGACACATTTCACCAATTAGCCAGAGGTAGTCACTACAACAACTAGTGTAATCACACAGGAAAGTGTATTTAGTATGTAGATTGATATCATTGTATATTCATTACAGAATGGCGTACTGGTCCTATATATACATTTAACACAAACTACTCATCTTTAATGTCATGCAATGTAATGGAACTCAGCTAGCTGTATACTATAAATTGTAATTGTGACTTTTTTAAAGACCGACCACAACATTAGTGTTCCAGAAATATTAAACTAGGGTTCATGACTACTACTAACAACAAACAATTATAAATGAGCAACAGAAACTGGACTCACTCTTAAATACCTAGATATTTATTTTAACAAGGGAACGCAATCACTAGTATGATTTTCAGCCATTAAAGCCATCATCTTGCTGCAATAATGCTGGGATACAATGCTGAGCATACAGAGAAGGGAATTTATCAAAACTGGAGCAGATACAAACTGGAGCAGCTGTGCATGGCAACCAATCGGCTTCTCTTTTTAATTTTCAA